CAAAGGAAATACGGGCTGGCCGAGGCTTGCGGCTAAGAGCGGCCAGAAAATATTGACACCTTGCTTGCTTAGGGGTGAGCTTCTTTTGCGTGAGAAAGTAGCTCGTTGCCACGTTGTTCGTCTTCACTATGAACTTTGACACCAACAAGTAGTGCCTCCACGTGCACAAGCAATGCACCACGGCCGTCATCTCCTTCTCTTGGATCGTGCATCGCCTCTCCGTCTTATTTAGTTTCTAACACTCGAATTCAATGGGATACCATCTTGCATCAAAACATCACCAATCGCGAAGTCGGATGCATCGGTCTAAACTTCGTAGTCCAATGTCGGGTTGGGGAGCACGAGCACGGGCTCCTTTATCACCACTGCCTTCAAGGCCTCGAATGCTTCTTGGCACCTTTCCAACCTATCCCAAGCCTTGTTCTTCTTTAAAAGATCTGTCAAGGTGTTGCAATGTTGGAGTAGCCATTGATGAACCTTCAATAGTAATTTGCAAGACCGAGGAATGACCGCAACTCTGGCACCTTCGTAAGCGGCTCCCATTCTTGGATCGTCTCTACCTTCCCCCCATCCATCTTCAACTTGCCTATGCCTATGATGTTCCCCAAGAATGGAACCTTCGTGGCGGCAAAAGTGCACTTCTCCCTCTTGACATACAATTCATTGTCGCGAAGGACTTGGAATACTTGGCGTAGGTCCTCGACATGCTCATCGAGTGTTTTTCTATACGCTACTATGTCATCGAAGCACACTACGAAGAATCGATCCAAGAATGGCTCGAACACTTGATTCATCAAAGTGCAACATGTGGCTGGTGCGTTGGTAAGACCAAATGGCATCACAAGAAACTCGTGGGAGCCATACCTTGGCACACAAGCTGTCTTTGGCTCGTCTCCCTCTGCTATCTGCACTTGGTAGTATCCCGAGCGAAGATCAACCTTGGTGAATGACACGCTACAACACAACACCTAACAATGGCTAAGTGTCACCAATGAAAGGGACTGTAGTATAGTGGCACAAGTAATAAATATCGAATCCACGAGTCTCTAGAGTTACTATTACTCAGCTTCAGTTCATTATCTAGCAAACTAGATTAAGGATTGATTTACTAAACTACTCTACTAACTACTCTACTACTTACAAGTTGAGAACTCACTTAGGTATGATTCCCCCTAGCTCCTCAATTAGGTCCAAGTTGCAATTACCTTTGGTTGATCTACTGTTGATTAAACTGCGGAAGATCCTAAATTAGCTTGGAATCTCTTAAGCTGACCAAGCCCTCTTAGACAGAATACCCGGCAGGCGACTAGCCTTCACCGGGATAGACTGCTAAGGCGATTCACACAGATCTCCACTACTGGAATGAATTCCAGTACAAAGCAGTGAATTGATTGACTCTCGCACAACCAATTCACCACTATCAATCAAGGAAGCTCTCTTAACCTAATCAGATTCTATCTATCATAGGTTAAAGCAGAAATCAAGAGAATTTGATGAAGATTCAATTGACTCAATAAGTCATGCCTCAATCGATTATAATCAAACAATATAACATCCAAAACTTCATACAAGAAAGATCCTAACATATGGAACTAGGGTTCCTCAAAACCTAAGTGAAGGGAAGTTACTCCATAGAGAAGAGAGAGACTGCAGAAATCTGATCTAGATCTTCAATCTCCATCTCCAAGCTTGATTCCCGAGCTCCAATGGCAAAGAAATCCTCCAAAATAGCTCCAAGAATGTTCCCAAGTCGCTCTCTCTCTCTAGGGTTCGTCCCTTGGGTGTTTGGGAACCAAAACCCAGCTCTCTCTCTCCTTTGGTTCGAAATTGGCTTAAAACCAGAAATTTCCGACTCACACGCCCAGGCCACACGGCCGTGTGACTTACCCAGATGCCCGTGTGAGGTCCAAAATGCGGCGTTCCGATTAAGTGGATTTCAGGCTTCCTACACGGCCAGGGATACACGGCCGTGTGGCATGCCTAGTCTGCCCGTGTAAAGCCTCGCACAATCCCACACGGCCACATTGGTTCACTACACGGCCGTGTGGGATTCATGAGTGCCCGTGTGGCTTCCTCAGCGACTCGCCACACGTCCGATCTTCGTCCAATCGACCCCGAACTCGCTCCCAAACCTTCATTCACGTACTAGGACCTGAAATATCACAAACAAGCACAACCTAGCGTGAAATCAGCCTAAAACACGAGAATCAACATCTCAAACGGCTCAAGAATAGGAGTAAAAACATGTGCAATTAACGGTCTATCAAACTCCCCCACACTTAACCGTTTGCTTGTCCCCAAGAAAACCAAGTCAGACACAAGGTAAGCTCACATATTTCAATCATACCAACATTGGGGAAAAATCATATAGGCACAGAAACACGTGAATCATACTGGCTTTCAAACATCAACACATGAACAACTTCAATAGCAACCTGGACAACCACCACAGAAGACATTTGAGTGCAGCAAAATTGAGTAAAAGAGGAGTCTCCATTCTGTTCATCAACCAACATAGATTTGACTCAACCACTTACTCAAGACAGTCACCTCATGCATAAAACTCAAGAGATCATAATCAAGACCGAGCCATCTAGGACCTCACCTGGGTAAAGAGTGTAAAGAACAAGGAAATGAATCGCTCACTCTCGACCAGTGGGGTCAGGACAATTTGATGCGAAAATGCGCATACTTATTCTCTCAATTCCTAACATCTCTTCACCATGACGGCGGCCTCTAAATATTAGAGTTCACATAAATGGTTGTCATCACTAACTAATCCGGAGGTCTTAGACACAGGTTCAAATGACTGGCTAGGGTCTTGGACATGGGGAAAAGGCCTTTTAAGTGGTGGAAGTATTCATAGCACAAGGTTCCACATTTCCAAACCCAACACATTCACAGTCAATCAAACCAATAACTTTCTTTCTGCTATTCTGCATTACTCACATTTTCTAGAGCACAAGAGCGAAGGAGGTCACATAAATGCTAGTATTTCCAAGCCAGACTGCTAAGAAACACTACTAAATGGGCACTATTTAGATTTTTGGTAGTGGCTCTCTTTTGCTTTCATTTTTTTCTTTGTTTTTCTTTCATTTTTTTTTTTTCATTTCTTAAGGGAACCACCACCTCTGCACATTTTTCAAACACCTGCCCAACTTTTTAAGAACTACCTGCAACTCTCACATTATACTTAGCAGAAACAGCAGAGAACATGCAAAAACCACTCTGTGGAACCTTCTAAGAGATGCAAAAAGGGTGATTTTTCATTGCAGACCGAAAGAAAGGAGAACACACGGCTCAAAGGGGCTGACTAGGGGGTATGACACACCAGGACAGTCAATTTGGTCGTGGGCTAATCCTACGCCTCCATCATCTTAGCTAATGACAACGTGAATGCTACACATCATGGAAGAGGGAACTATCGCACAAGAAAGAAACGAGCAGGCTCAAATCTCACATGGCTACCTATATGCTCTATCTCTCATTCTGATTCCCTGAACTAGATGCATAAACGACTGTCAAGAAAAAGTGATCCATCCAAGTCACAGTTGGTAAGCAAACAGTTGAAAAACTGAACCCCTACACAACTCTACTACACGTCTTAGTCATCATTATAGGTTGTCCTAGTCACCATCTAGTTGTCATGCATTAATCCAAAAACCATTCAATTCACCAATCAAAACACAGTGCCAATATGATCAAACATCCGTACTTGGAGCCCTCAAATCTCGAGATTTGGACAGCGGACTAGGATCCAAGCACATGTATATAGATTCCAACCGATACAAAGCACCCGTCCCCCCACACTTAAGCACGACATTGCCCTCAATGGAGCATAGGGAGAGATAAGGGGAATGATGTTACCGGATTGAAATATTGCGGGAGACTGGAAGTGGACCAGTCAGCGGGGGACATATGGAACGAACAGACAGTTCTGCACTAAGGGAACAGCAAGAACACACTAGCACATGGTCGTTAGGGATCAGAGGTGACCCAGATGGCCACAAAATAAACAATCCACAAAAGAAAACCAAAAGGAAAAAAACAAACGACAGACTCAGTTCAAGCTCCTCAAACACATGGAGCAAACATAAAAAGTCTAAAAAACACACACTCAGGGGGCGACAAGTACAGCCTACTCGTCGCCAAGTTTGTCCAGATCGATGTCATTCATGAATGCATCATCATCATCAGCTGGTGGAGGTGGAAGTGGAGAGTCCTCCCAGGGAGTCCTCCAGACTGGCTGCTCGCCCGGTAGCAGCTGGAGTAGGTGCTGCTGGACCTCCTGCATGCGCTGAGATCGGGCCTGCTCCCTCTCGATGCGAGCCAGGGTCACCCCCTGCTGGGTCTCCATCCGATCAAGACGCTCATCATAAGCGGCCATCCGGGTCTGGTACTCGGCATTGTGAGCCGAATACTGCTGCTGGAACTGGAGCTGATGGTCATAGAGCTGCTGATTCTGGAGACGCACCTGCTCAAACTGTTGAGTGAAGTAGTCCTGGCCGGGGAAAGTGGAGCTTCCACCCCCGTACTCGAAGGTGGTGGGCGGGCGGCAGTAGTATCATCCACATCCTCGGGGTGGACATCCTCATCAGCCGCTTCCTCAGGAACCTCCGGCTGGTCCTCCGCTAGGATCTGAGGTTGAGGAAACCCCTCGATCCACTTGACTCCTCGCTCTTCTCGAAGCAGGTGAAGGCGTTTGAGCCTGCCGGGAGGCGTTTCTCCTCTGAGCCTGTTGGAAGGCGTTTAAGCTTTGAGCCTGTCGGAAGGCGTTTCTCCCCTTAGCCTGTCGGAAGGCCTTTAAGTTTTGAGCCTGTCGGGAGGCGTTTATGCATGTTGGAAGGCGTTATTCCTCGGAGCCTGTCGGAAGGCGTTTCTCCCCTGAGCTTGTCGGAAGGCGTTTAAGCTTTGAGCCTGTCGGAAGGCGTTTCTACTCGGAGCCTGTCGGAAGGCGTTTCTCCCCTGAGCCTGTCGGAAGGCGTTTAACCTTTGAGCCTGTCGGAAGGCGTTTAACCTTTGAGCCTGTCGGAAGGCGTTTCTCCCCTGAGCCTGTCGGAAGGCGTTTTCTCCTCTGAGCCTGCAGGAAGGCGTTTCTCCCCTGAGCCTTTCGGAAGGCGTTTAAGCTTTGAGCCTGTCGGAAAGCGTTTCTCCCCTGAGCCTGTCGGAAGGCGTTTCTCCCCTGAGCCTGTCGGAAGGCGTTTAAGCTTTGAGTCTATAGGGAGGCGTTTAAGCCTTGAGCCTGTGTGCCAATGACCCGCCTATGAAAAGCGGGATCGGGCTGTACCTCCATACCGATGACCCGCCTGTGAAAAGCGGGATCGGGGTTTACCTCCGTACCGATGACCCGCCTGTGAAAAGCGGTATAAAGGTTTACCTCCGTGCCGATGATCCGCCTGTGAAAAGCGGGATCGGGCTTTACCTTCGTGCCGATTCGAGATCGGGCTTTCGTTTCCCGAAGGAAGCATTCCCGCAATGGGAGCATCACCCGGAGGCGGAAAATTCCCGTGATGGGAGCATCGCCCGTCGGCGGGACATTCTCGCAATGAGAGCATCGCCCGTCGGCGGGACTTTCTCGCGATGAGAGCATCGCCCAGAGGCGGGACTTCCCGCGATGGGAGCATCGCCCGGAGGCGGGATCATTCCCTCGATGGGAGCATCGCCGCGAGGCGGGACATCCTCATGCTAGTAATTGAGTATATCGACTGGACAGAGATGGGAGACGTTTGCGGGCCCAGGCGATGTGACCCAGGGCGGCCCAAGTCTTGAAATTTGAGGCGGGCCAAACAGAGTTGGGCCGCGCTGTGGACTTGAAGGCGGATCGGGTTGGAGGAGGCATCTTGCGTTGTAGGGTCCGATGCGGTTGGTCACGGAATGCGGGTTGTATTGTGATGGAAGTTGCTCTCATTTGTATGCATGGGCTTGACGGAGGGATAGGCCCAATTCACAAATGGAGGGCGTGAAACCTTAATTAGGCAGAACGGGCTCCCCTTTCTCCTCTTTTCTTCTTTTGCTGGCGCTAACTGGCTCAATTTTGACGCGGCCGTCTTCTTTTAAGCGTTTCCTCGGAAATTATGCCCTTTTTTCTTCTGACAGAGGGAGGAAATGAGATTGAGGCTGGTCTACTTTTGCAGAGCCGAATACTGTAGCTGACATCTACAGTGGAACATGCTTGGGGAAGGGTGAGATGGTGACGTGACGGGTTCTCTTTCTTTTTCCTTTTCTTTCTTTTGCCAAAGCTTTTGCGTCGGGAATAATTCGGCCATCAATTCTCTTTTCGTCAGGTTACTTGCAGCCGTCGCTTTAAGGTCGACGAAGAGAGGAGTGATGTTGGCGTTGATGAAACAAGCAGTCGGTGGTGACGAGTGGTTCGGTCTGGCTGGCTGAGATCAGTGGTAGGCGCCAGTGGTGATGAACATGTAGGAGACGGGCGGTGGCGATGACAATTTGCCTTGCTATATTTCTTTGTAGCTGGAGAGTGCAGTGAACTCTCATATTTGGAATCTTTTTCCTTTGTCCCAGGGAATATCTTCTATTGGTGAGTGTTCATCGGTCCGGATGGGGGAAGGTTGTTGATTTTTTCCTCTATTCTTGGCCCGTATCACTTTTGCTTGCGATGATGGAGAAAGAATTGATCTCCTCCCTCTGCTTGAAATCAAACGAAAGAATCCAAGATCATGGCCCCACGGTGGGCGCCAAATTTTTTCACCCCGGAAAGTACCGAGGGCTTAACATGATAATAAGTGGGGGCTCCGATCTGGATTTCCTCGTTCGATCTCTTCGAGAGGCGAGGAACCTGTGAGGCGGGGGGCGGCCCCTGGACTCTACGCTCCGACACCCAAGTTAGTACGATATATGAAGCGGTTTATGGTATGTAGAGAGAGAGTTTAGAGAGAGACCTTGGGGTATGAGTGTCGGCCAGGAAAGAGAGGATCCTTTGGTTGGGAGGCATGAGTCTCCTTTTATAGGAGTCTTGGGCTTCCTTTCGTGGGCTTGGGCCCGATAAGATGTGTGGGATGATGGGCTTGGGCCCGTTAATGACGTAGTTGTTTGTCGTATTAGGCGGATTAATACCACACCCAACAATTATGATTCCCAACAGTTGGCCCTTAAAGTTTTCCTACTCGTACAAGATGGTTCATTAGTACGTTATGACCTGAAAACACATGAAATGCTCCTAAAAGTGCATAAAAATAGAAGAACAATCTTTGATCTACTAAAACAGACGTTGTGATTATTAAGAGAATACATACTATTATGACTACAATGAGAAAACCATTTTTTTTTTTGACAACAACAATGAGAAAACCATGATAAAGGGGTTTGAGCTTTGTTTGTTGGGTTGAATACCGGTTTCGACGGATGACCGGTGGGGTGTTGTGCCTCAGGCCACCATTTGCTCCCTATTATCGCCACTGAATTCACTAAAATAAAATAGGGTTAATACCTTTTTATTTTGGCCCGCACTATAGACAAACTTTCTACTTTGGTCCGTGGTATCGGAAATTTCTATTCTGGCCTGAACTATGTAGCATACTTCCTTATTTGGCCCGGAGGCGGGTTTGACCGTCAAATTAGACGGTCAACCGAGTTGACCGTTAGTCCAGATCCAACTCACTTGCCACGTCAGCTAGCAGGGAATAAAAAAAATTATTTTTTAATTACTGTATTTTTACTTTCTAATAATAAAAATAATAAACAAAAAAATTCATTTCTTACGTTCTTATTCGTTTGTTTATTATTTTATTATCACATTTGTAACACCCCGAACCTTTTCCCGACAAAATACTGTCCGCTTTTGGCCTCGACCCTCACGGATTTCGACTTGGGTACAATTTAAGGTGACTTCCCATAAGGTCACCCATCCTTGTTGTACTCCACACTGAGCACATTTAACTTCTAAGTTCTCATAAGAACTCCATTACACCCCAAAACACGTCTTGTCAGTTAAGACCAGTTTCCTACTTTCCTACTTATGAACCATGAATCCCTCTCGTGCTTTGTCGATGTGGAATTTGACTAAAGTGTTACAACATAACAAAAAAAATTTATCATAAAACTAACAAACAAAATAATAAACAAAAGAAAATGCAAGAATCCTTTATCTTCTCCGACTCTCTCCTCACGGATCTGCCTTCCTTCTGCTTCCCATCGCCACTTTCCATTTCCATTTCCAACCAACCATTTAGCAGACAATGCTTCTGCTTCCCATGACCACCTTCCCTTCATAACTCTTACAATTGATATCTCCAAATGCTTTTGTCATCCAAATCAATTTACACGATTCAGCAACCCAAATCCCTAACCCACCAAAAACGCATTCAAACGTAGGAGATGAGCGACACCGAAATCGATTCAGTACCCATACATGACTATTGTGGCGACGACCAATCTCGCCGATAATGATAAACATCAGCTTTGCGGCGCGCGTGTGGAGACTTTGACGAGTTCATCCTCGTCCTCCTTTGGCTCAAAATCGGCCGCCTCTGTGGTCGCTCTCTCCCTCCCAATAATCAACAATAGTAGGGGGTTTCAATCGAGGTAAGGTTTTATGAGGGTTGGGGTTTCTAGAGAGATGAATCTCGCCGTAATGAGCGGCGGCGAAGGTTTAGAGGGGCAGAGTGAGGGGAGAGAGAGTGAGCAAGGGGAAAGATGATAGGGTTTCGGAGAAGATGGATTTGGAAGGGTGCCGGAATTTTTTTCCCCATCAAGGTGAGAGGAGGGAGAGTATAAACTGAATTTTTTTAATTAATATTTTTTGTTTATTTTTTTTATTATTAGAAAGTAAAAATACAGATTAAAAAATGATTTTTTTTATTCCTTGTTAGCTAACGTGACAAGTGAGTTGTATCGTGACTAACGGTCAACTCTGTTGGCTGTCTAATTTAACGGTCAAACCCGCCTCTGGGCCAAATAAGGAAGTATGTAGTTCAGGCCAGAATAGCGATTTCCGATACCACGAGCCAAAATAGAAAGTTTGTCTATAGTTCAGGCCAAAATAAGGTATTAACCCTATAAAATACTAAGCCAAAAAGCATAGCACCAACCATAAACTACAAGGAGGGGTTACGGTGATTACTAAGGGTAAATTGGGTATGAAAAAATAAATTATATTAATTAATTTTTTAATAAATTACATTTAAGGTAGTTACAAAAATCTATTAATTAAAATTCTCTCTTTCTCTCACTTCCGTAATCCCCAGCCATATTTCCTTTCCATATTTTTCTCAATCTTTCTGCAAAAAAAAAAAAAAAAAACGAAATCAGTACCAATCCATTAGACAAACACTACCACTTTGAAAAATATCAATACCATTGCAGAAATAAATCTATACCATTACACGAAAACTACCATTGCAGAAATAAATTTATACCATTACACGAAAACTACCATTCAAGAAATAAAAACACTACCATTTCACAAAACATCAATACCATTCAAGAAATAAAAACACTACCATTTCACAAAACATCAATACCATTGCAGATTTAATCACTACCAATGCGACAAAAACTATACCAATACGACAATAACACTACCACTACGAAAAAAATGACTACCATTTAAAAAAAATCACTACTGAAAAAAATGACTACCATTAAAAAAAAACATACCATTTCAATGGAATTCCTCCTTCCAATTGCAGAGATGATGGTGAGCGCAGCTGGAGAAGCGGCAATAGCCGAATGTCGGCGGGGGAAGGGGTGGGTCGGCGGGGGGAGGGGGTGGGGTGGGATGGGGTCGGCGGGGGAGGGGTGGGTCGGCGGGGGGAGGGGGGGTGGGGTGGGATGGGGTCGGCGGGGGAGGGGGGGGGGGGGTCGGCGGGGGGAGGGGGGTGATGGGATGGGGTCAGCGGGGATGGGGTCGGCGGGGGAGGGGGGGGGGGGGGGGTCGGCGGGGGGAGGGGGGTGATGGAGGGGTGGAGGAGGAAGAGAGGGACGTGGGTCGGCGGGGGGAGGGGGGTGGGGTGGGATGGGGTCGGTGGGGGAGGGGGTGGGTCGGCGGGGGGAGGGGGGTGCAGGGTAGAATTAGGGTTTGTGTATATATAGAATAATCCAGTGTGGTTTATTTTTTGTTTCCAAAATTATCCTTGAGCAATCATAATCGTGAGATTAAAAAAATAGGAAAAAGATAAAAATGGATGATCGATATTGATGTAGCCAAGGAGGCTATTAGAAATTTAGTAACCAAGCTAACTCATCCCATAAACTACATCCTCCAAGTAACTCCACTGTTCGTCTATAACAACGAAGTGCTAGTTGAAAAGTTCCTTCCAATGAAACCCCTCGTAAATAAGTAGGAAGCACAATTTATTCTAGGCGTACAACAAATAAAGACTACCCCTACAACACCAAAGCCACCCTTAGAGACGAATGCAAGCTCTCTCCTTCCTAAAACAAAGCATCTAATCCTCTGTCTTTCTCACTTGTGCAAACCACAATCACAGTTCTCACTCCCGATATCTACGGCAACACAAGGCGGGGATGGCGCCACTCCATCTCCCCCACTACCCTTGTACCACAGCTTCCTCTTCTCCGCCAGCTCCTCCAAAAATCCGTCCAGCTTCTCGATCGTCACGTTCGGCATCACCACCACGTGAGCAATGTTCCCCTGGCACGCTAGCTGCCACCTGCGCACAAAAAACTCGTCGTGGGGGCGTTCAAACACCACCGTGCTGCTGAGTTCGTTCAGCATCGCGCTGATGCCCGCGTCGCGGAGCTTGTCCTTGAGGTAGTGGGCGTTGCGGAGGCACTTCTGGACCTCCTTCTGGAACCCCTTGTAGCCCTTCTTGTTCAGGGTGTACCACAGGAAGATTGGTGCGTGGCCATTTCGGCTACCCATGATCGTGGCATCTCGTGATGCTAGGTACTCGACGTTATTGGAGAGGACCTTGATGTGGGACATTCTTGTGAGCTGGACACCGCATGGCATTGGGCATCCAACGAATTTGTGTCCAGAGACGCTCACGCTACCAATTGGTTTCTTGAAGCTGACCTTCGGTGCCTGTACAAAACCAAGGCGTGTTTCTTTCAGCTTTACAGCGGGAGGTTACTTCCTGGATTTGGTGAAATAATCGCATACTTCTTGAAATAACTATTCATAGCGCTAATGATGAGGAAGAGATGTGAAAAGATAAAGGAGCGACCTAAGCCTACCATCTCCCTGCTACAATAATGCTTGCCAGAGCCACTTCTATAGCATGGATATGGAGAAGGAAATTAGATCACTTACCCGTTTCACAAAAGGCATCATGAGTCCAAACAGAGCTCCATCGCAATGAATGTAGAATCGATCCTGTGGAAACCCGTTTTCTTCAAGGGTCTTTATTACAAGGTCAAGGTCGTCAACTGCTCCTTTGACAGTTGTTCCTGCAATGAAGATAATCCTAACACGAATGAGATAGTGTGGGAGGTTTGAAACAAGTGAGCAAATGAGAGTATGAGAAAGAAACCAAATGCATAGAGGCTTGATACCTATGTTGACATTTAGGATGGCTGGCTTGTCTTTGTTAGCAAGCAGTTGTTTTTTCAAATCCGAGCAATCAATTTCACCAGATGTCAAACAATCTACCTTGACACATTCCATTCTGTACATACGAGCTGCCTTGAACACAGAATAATGTGATTCCCGGGAGGCATACAAAATGCCATCAGGAAATACTTCCCTCCTGCGCAATCAAAATCGTTACTCTCACATTACTCTTGACCTAATGGTTTGTCCTGAAATCACAAAATGGCATCAAGTGACTAACCCCATTAGAATCCCATGAAGGTTTCCCTCTGTACCACAATTGGTTATGTAACCCCAGTACTCATCTCTCTCTATCTCCCATAACCGAGCAAACCAGTCCAAGACGCCAACTTCAAACTGTCGTGAATGAACACCATAGTTGCTCTCAATAAACGGATCCCCAAGATTGTTGATTGAGAAATGTTGCAATTGTGACAGAGCGCCATAATCAAAGTCCAAATTATAAGGATAACCTGCAGCGAAGCACAACAAATCAGGATACATCCCCTTCATGGTTACCGAAACTTGTGCTACTTGGCCCAACACGTTTCTTAAAACACTCCACTAACAACAGCGCTTTACAGCAACCGATGAACCCTCAAGTGAATATAACAAGTCAATACCATACACAAAGGCCAACACTCGACACGAACTATGACATTTGTTTAGAGCTCTAATGAATCATGTCTAATGCTACTACTATCACAGCAAGAAAACACAGTAATTGATTTCATCTTCAGGTCACAGAAGCAATTGCGCAATAATTTGAAAAAATTTCACTTCCTGCTGGACTACACTTAGGTTTCAAAGCTAAAAATGGGCCTTTCAAACATGTATTCAGTCTTCGAATTCACCATCTGTGACCATCTTCTCAGCAGAAACTAGCTTCCTAAGCGGATCAAGCTGATCAATTGAATATCAGCTTGACCACCAACTATGAAACTAGAAAAGATCGATAATTCCAAAACCAGAGGCTTGACCCAATAGAATAGGAATACCCGCTAGAACGAACAAAAGCAATCAGTTCTTAATTAACACGAATAAAGGGCGAAAAGAAGACAGGAAGATCTAGAGGGGATCGATTCCGTTACCTAGATGATGCTTAGTCCGCTCGAGCAAGTTGTTTCTGTAGCGAGCGAGGACCCCGGCCATGTAGGCGTCTTTGTCTCCGGTGAAATGGTCGTTAGCGTCGGGCTCCGTGACCTCCAGGCAGGCCGTGTGCACATTTCTCCCCAGCACAATCTCCTTCTGCTTGGCGCCGCCGTTCCCCTTGTCGTCGTTTCCGTGGACGCCGTTCTCCGCGGCCACGACGGGAGGGAGTGGCTCCGCTCGTACGATGGCGATGGGATCGAAGTCGCCCTTCAAGCCGTTTAGATGCGGAGCCGTCGGGGCAACTGCCTGAACCTCCATGGCGGGTTTCGATCGGTTTCCGATACGGCAGCGGCGGCGTTCAGTTGTTGGAATCTGGAGGAAATGGAAGCCGGGGATGGAGGCAGAAGTAAGGAGCCGATTGGGAAATTAAATCGGCTTTACTATAAATAGCACCGGATAACTGGAAGTGGCGGTGGGCAATTATTTTATGCGTCACCATGAATCAATCTTTTTAATATTTGTCGTTAGAGTTCCGAAGAGATAACGCTAATGTTTATCATTTGTTCATTGAGTTTAATGGATTTACCTCTTATTCGATTTTTTATTATTATTATTATTATTATTATTATTATTATCATCATTATTATTATTATTATCTATTTTTTAATTTTTATTTATTTACCTCATATATTATTCATATTTTCATAGCAGTTGATAAAAATTTATAAATTAAGTAATTAACGTGCTTAATTCACTTGAATGACGTCTAAATTTGTGAATGTAAAAGATATGCCAAACGACATCAGATTTTGATATATCTGTAGTTCTGTACTGAATACCAATAACAGTTTACTTCATATGCAAATTTTCAAGCAGTTTAAACTGATTTATAAGAGTTACATGCCGTCTAAAATTTAGAATTCATTATTCCATCATGATTTTTTAAGGAACCCCTCCGTTATATCAATCACAGTTAGCTTACTTTCCGGCTTGATTAATTGATTAGAATAGTAGTTGGTTGATCATGAAACTCATATAGAATGTAAACCTTGAAGAAGACAAAATCCAAATCTAATCCAACATTAAAACACAAATTTAGAATAATTGATTGTCTAATAAGTAAATTAGTGTTGCAAGTTTGTTCAAGTTATATCTATAATAATAATCTCTAAATAAAATTGAGTACCTAAAATAGACATCATTGTATAGCAAATCTGTATGATTTAGTTGTCATCAATGTATGTAATTGATATTTGATACCACGTGTATGCCCATTAACCTTTCGGACGGCTCTCCGTTGTATGGTTAAGGAGTCGACGCCGTTTGGTACGTCGGAGGGGTCGGGTAACTTTTAGACGAGAGTAGAGATTCCTCCCCGTATTGGCACACGTGTAACGTGGAGTGTGATAATTGGGTAGGTGAAGATACGGGGAATCACGTGCTGGGTGGGACAGGTCTTATCTCTTGGGTAGGGATTAAGGAATCGAATTCTGGGCCTGGTCCCGTCACTTCTTTAGGGGTGGTTTGGTAGTTTTGAGGATGGACGAGTTTTTGACAAATTGACAATACATCTTTTTTTTAATCCGGAGGATATGGTACCACTTCTTTCTTTTTAGGGTTCGTTTGAAAGTTAGGAGTCTAAATGAGTGATTATGTGAATGTGTGTATTCTTTATAATTTATCGTTCTTTTGACATAAATTTATCCAGAATGCATGCATTTGATTGGTACTTTAGAATCTCAAATGGCTAGAATCATTCATTTTAGAATCTCTACAAAAATGTGAGATTCTCTTGCTTTACTTTTGTAATCGCTTTTTTGCACCTCTTATCCTTATTTTTTTTTTTATATATTTCATATTTGCCCCTTCTTTAATTGACTATATAAAGAGAACTTCAAGGTTATATAAGTCTTTTTGGTCATTAAAGTGAGAATCCTTATATTCTTTAAAAGTGAGAATCACAACTAACAAACAACATATTCTTACAATCATCTATTTCTTACAATCACTACACTTAGAATACATACATTGTAAGAATACACATATTCATAAACTCCCAACTTCCAAACGGCCCCTTAGTGTAATTGATTATAGGTATTATAGTTGATTACTCATGGTAGCTCTCTTCCTGAGTCTTCCCTCCTCCGTTTATCGATTTTAGTTTTAAATCGCTATTTGTCCTTCATTCTAACTCGGATTTCAATTTTTTTTGCACAGATGGAACGATTTCGTTGTGCTTTACAAAATAATATCCATTTTCAATATTATTTGAGAATTTTTTTATACCTCTCGTTACCAACTCCATACCATATGGTATCTCCTTCGTTGTTTAGTCGTTTTCGGAATTTTTTGCATAGAAGGAACAATTTAATCATGATCTATTTGATTTCAAAATTTTCCGGGTGAAAAAATTTCCTACCACTCGTTACCAACTCCATACCATACTATACCATCCTGGTATGGGATGGTATTTTTCATACAATATGGTATGCTGTTATTTAATACAGTCAATACCATATGGTATAGACTGGTAATAACTGACAAAAAATTTTTGTTCCAAAAAATATCAAAGTGGATGTCATTTTGAAGAGCACAATTAATCTGATCTAACTGTGCAAAAATAATAATAATTAAATTCCGAGTTAAAACGAGTGAGAAATCGTCCGTTAAAGATTAAGGGAAGGAAAATTAAAGGTTTTTCGAGGAGAGAGAAGGAGATGCTGATGTGGTGGATTCTTATTGGGTTATGCATTGGGTTACTCACTTGATGGTTACTGAAGGGATCCGGACCCGGTAATGGGTGTGGGTTTATTACCCTCCTTTTTTTGTTTATTATTTTTTTTCTTCTTCTTCCATTGCTGATGGGAAAAGGAAACGGCAAACGATGATGATACAATAATAATAACCAATAGTTATTGATGTTATTATTTTATTATCTAATTCACGGTTGCAACGCTTCATACATAATCATCATCTCGTCGTTCGGTCGAACCTAGACCCAAATATCAGGGTGTTACATTTTATCTATAGATTGAGCCATTACACCAAGGAGCAGATTGAATGAAGTTACACTAGTGAGATTAAAAAGCTGTAATGGGAGTCTTCCTTCTTCTTTACCGGTTGACTGTAACAGCCCAGAAGGGACGAAAAGGAAAGGGGGAAAGCCGGAGTGAAGTGGCCAAAAGAGTCTTGTATGAAATGAAATTGCTTGTTAGGAGCTTTGGAGCGATAGCAGAAGCGAGAGGGTAGATGAGCTCGATCGTAGGGAGAGGATAAGAAAGTCTCAGTTCTCAGTGTTAGAGTAAGGAAGCGAATGAGCTGAAAGAAAGCCTTGCAAGGTAGGAAGTTATTTGATCAACCGGTAATCTTTCTCTTTCTTTCCATCTCCTGCGCGTGCGCGTAACGTAGTGCCTTTGAGTAGCAGCTTGGTGGACTTTGATTACTTTATATTAGATAATTACGATCCGATAGATCCTTCTTCTAGTTCCTTTCTATTTGACTGGGAAGAGGATGGAATTTGCTTAGTGTGAAAGGCTTTGGAACTTGCTTGTTCCGTTGCTTGTTGGTTGGTGCTAATCTAAGGTAGCTGCAGAAGAAAGAAAAGAAGACGGTAAAAGTACATCAATGCTGCTGCCCAGCTTCTCCTCGATCCGGGCCTTGCGTGTTTGTTTTGCATAATTTAAGAATTTTTTTTTATCTTTCATCCACTCTTCAATCTTAGGGCTTCCGTAGCAGGTCAAATGTTGAGTGAATTAGAAAGGATTCCAAGAGTTTGACCTCGCGGGAAAATCCGAACTCGCTCGTTTCCAATCCGGTTGAAAGGACGAAAGGAGGTTAGGAAAGGAGATGAGTCTTTCTTTATTATGAAAAAACACATAACTGAAAGACCTTGATCTAACGGACTCTGTACCACAGATACATGTTATTCACTGAAAATGTAAGGCACCCTTTTCTTTCCTTGGGCATTTATCAATGTAAGTTGTTCATATACATGCCCCAATCCGGATTCTTCTCCGGATGTCACAACCTCCCGAAGTCACATTCTAAAAAAAAATAGAAAAATAAGAACCAAGTAAAGATGATACGGATCCCAGGAATGGCATTGCACAACGCAAAGAAGGGACGGATGAATGCTCAATAGCAGGCTTCTCGGAGAAAGCTTTGGGGCGGATCAAATCGGCGACTGGGCTTGAAAAAGCTTAATTTCCTACACAGATATTACAACTTAAGCGAATCTAATTCTCTGGGTTCGAGGCTATTGGTCAGGAATGAAGTTGCTCGCATTTTAATTAGAACAAGAAGGAGAGGAATGCTTTGGTGTTCGAAATTGAAGGTTTGTCGGAATTCAATCCTCTCACAAAGTTCGAGTATATTCATTCCTCTTTTTAGAGAGATGGGGCCGTGGTTGTGACACGCTACGACACAACACCAAACCGCGACCAAGGGCAAGTTCAAATTATCAACCCGGGGTCAGGATCTACTGCCTACTCGGTGAACTACTATTATCTAGCGGGACTAAGAAAGTGTTTGTGAGTTTAAGCTAAAGCAGACAGAAAGCAGTAAATTGTTGAAGTTCTTATGCAAGGGAAGAGTCACTCGAGAATGAGTCCCCCAGCTACTTAGTTAGGTCAAAGTTGTAATTACCTTTAGTTGATTTACTGTTTATTAAACTGCGGAAGATCCGACAGTATCTTGGAACCTCTTAAGCTGACCAAGCCCTCTCAGACAGACTACCCGACAAACGACTTGTCACCGGGATAGACTGCTGAGGAAATAAACACAGAACTCCACTACTGGAATTGGATTCCAGGACAAAGCAGTGAATCGATTAACTCTCGTATAACCAATTCACTACCATCGATTTACGAAGCTCTAACAACCTAATAAGTAACTATCTATCTCAGTTGCAGCAGAAATCAAGAAAAGTTTATCAGACTTCAATTGACTCAATAAAACATGCCTCAATCGATTATAATCAAGCAGTATATCAATCCAAACGTCATTACAATCAAGATCCCTAACACATGGAACTAGGGTTCTTCATACCAAAGTGAGAGAAAGTTCTACTTCATAGAGAGAGAGAGAGAGAGAGAGGAAAATAGAATACAAAGCAGTCATGCTCATAAGAATGGAAAGAATCTGCTCTGGGATGTCAATCTTCACTCCTGGGGATGCAATCTGGGCTTCAATGGTGTGAAATCCACTCCAAATTGCTCCTAGGGTTTGTTCTTCCCACTTTCTCTCTTTAGAACTCAGTTTTTTGCTCCAAAAAGTCGTCTCTCCCAAAATATGAGCTCCTCTCCAATAAAACCCGCACAAATGCAAAAACGCGGCTGATAGACCGTTAATTACACATGTTTTTACCCCTGTCCTTACACCGTTTGAGATGTGATTTCTCGTGTTTTAGGCCGATTTCACGCTAGGTTGTGCTTGTTT